CCGACTTCCGTACTGACCGACAGAACGCTGCAACGTAAGCGAAACAGCGCTAAAAGGGAATATCAATCACAATGATGTGAGTCTAATTATATTTACCACTTCTCAGTCAATTTAATCTAATCTTCTAATTTCTGTTCCAACAAGTGTTAAACTGTCTCAAATTTAATTTGTTAAAATTGGATCAGGACTGTTTGATTCAAAATAATAATAATAATAATAATTTGAAATTAAAATTAAATTCTATAGGCTACTCGCAAATTTTGGAAGTTCTTTCAGAACAAACAATAAACAATATAGAATAAAATTTTCTGTCATTTATGGTAACAATCATCATATGGCACTGGCTTTCAAATTAAATGGTGATATTTCTATGTTGGCACATATAAGCCACATTTCAATATCTTCACTATGGTTACCTGGAATAATTCTGCTATACACAACACTTGTTCCTACAAAAACTTGTTTGAGGTTTTTGTATGTTTTAAGATGTCTCTGAAGCAAAAAGTCACAAAGAAATAGATCACCCAAAAATGAGAATTTGATGAAAATATTGGCCATCTAATATGTAGATGAGTTTGTTTCTTCATCGGAACAGATTTGGAGAAATTTAGAATTGCATCACTTAACCAGTCACCTCACCAACGGATGCTCTGAAGCGAATAAGTGACATCAAAATCAGAGTTCAAACAGCTGATAAAAAGATCACAATATCCACAAGTAATTGACACGGCTCCAGTCCATCAGTTAACATCTGGTGAAGCAAAAGCTGCGTGTTTGTAATTAACAAATACATTATTAAGACATCAAACTTCAAACCGTTGCTTCCAGCAAAAATACATGTCCTTTTGCTTTCTCTAAGTGATTTAATGCAAAATTTCTCCAAATCTATCCTGATGAAGAAACAAATTCATCTACATCTTGGATGGCCTGAGGGAGAGTACATTTTCAGCAAATGTTCATTTTTGGGTGAACTATTCCTTTAAAATATCTACATTCAGAGGGCAAATGCAGGATGTGGACCATGTGGGCACAAAATGTGGACATGTGGGCACGAAAAAGTATAGTTGGCGTTTTAGGTGCAGTGGTCAGTGCAAGACTAGTCTGTGGCATTGTTTGTTTTGTGGGGTTGGTTCAAGCAGTGTGGTTGAGGAAGCAGGTACTACAAGGTCAAATGTTGCAGGCAATAGTTAATCTTCCTCTTATCCTGTTAGAAAGTGAAAGGAAACAACAACGGCGTTAGACTACCTCTAACTCCCCCCTCTGGGCCACCTGAGTATTTTTTCTAGTCCTCACTATGAGCCCCAAGTGGATGGTGAAGCCTTGCCGTGCAATGCGCCACCAGCCATGTCTGCGTTTGGCCACTGTCCTTGGTGCTGATGAAGCCATACTTTGTGTGTGAGTCAAATAGGACACAGAGGCATCTTCACATGACACTGTCTGCAGAGCAGATGAACAACAGAGTATATTTTTATGTTTGCGATGTAAAATTGTTTGGGACTGTTGCCTGCAAGTATTACAGGAGCTTACAGCATCTAAAGATATTACTGTAAACTTAATCTCAAGTAAGAAAGCCCTAAATCCTAATTTCAGTCACCATGGAGGATATTAGGGATTAATTGCATTAAGATGACCCTTACAAAAAAGTCCTGTGGTATTCCATATGATAAAACATCAAATGTACCACATAAAACTAGTGTGGTAATTGTGTAGTACTGTGTTGTTTTTTGGGACATTTTACCACAGGATTTTGTTGTATGGTATGTAATATTCCTGTAATATTCTTGTGGTAATGTGTAGTATTTACCACAGGATTTTGTTGTACGGTATGTAATATTCCTGTAATATTCTTGTGGTACTTCAGTCATATTTCTGCAGTAATACTAGGAATTTCCTGTAATAAACCTGTGGTCCTTAATTGTTATATTTTTGCAGTATTCTGTGGTATTCCTAAATTATTCATTTAAAGTTAGTGTAGCATTCTATGGTATTCCTGCAAGAAAAGTGTTGTTTGTCTATGATAAACCTGTGGTATTACTTACATCCATCTCATAATCTGAAAATATATGTAGTAAACATGCAAGACAAGACTTCAGTGGTCACAAGTTGATATACAGGGCCTTATTTATAAAGTGTGCAAATGCACAAATTTGATCTTAGAGTGTACACTAAAATTCATATTTATAAAAACATGGAAGCAGATGTACACACTTTTGCTTATTCGAGTGCAGCAGGGTTTTGGAAATCTAAGCTATTCTTGCAGCTTGCTATTCTAAGGTAAAGGATTTTGACGTTGACTGGTGCTATTTTATATGTTAATGACATTAATTAGGGTTCATTTACAAGGCAGTGATCTGAAACCATTCAGCTGCACACATTTTCATAATCAAAGAGAGGCGTATGCACGTTTTCTGTGCATACATTCGTTCTATGAATCACTTCCAGGTCGGTTTAATCACGTTCTATATTAATGCGCTTCCTATAAACATTGGTAACCATAGTAACATACAGTTACAGTTGAATAGTAATACAGAGTGAGACAGTTACAGTAAACATTTCCGATTTACTTAGCTGGGCTAAATGTATGATTTTCGCGTGTCATTTAGCTTATACGGTCATTATGGCAATTTTGATAAATGGGCAGAGGCACAAGATGAACTGGACGAACTGGAGAATATAACATCAAACGAGAAATGTAAAGAAAAACGGTACAAGGAAATAACACCAGCAGAGCTGAAGCAGATTGAAGACGACAAGGATGAGGTTAATACAAAAAAGACTACTAAATGGGTAATTACCACATTCAAAGACTTTTTGTATCAGAAGAAAAAAAATGATGCTGTTGAGACTTACTCGGCTTCTGAACTTAATGAGACATTGCGAGAATTTTATGCCTCTGTTCAGACTACCGGCCGCGAATACAGTGTTGCAAGCCTGAAGTGTATCAGAGCGGGTATTAACCGTTACATCACAAAACACAACATCATAAATGATAAAGACTTTAAATCAAGCAATGCCGTCTTTAAATCAATTATAAAGCGCTACAGGAAAAATTGAAAATACACCAGCGTTCATCACCCTCGTATCACGGAGTCGTAAAAATTCACCTGCGCTCTCCCCATTCACACCCATCGGGCTTCGCGGAGGCAACCACCCTCCGCTGCGCGTCGGGTGATTCTTCGCCTCCGCGTAGTGCATTCAAATCGTTTAATGCACAGCTAGCCGTTGATTATCCCTTACATATTACATAAATACGCCAGCAGGTGGCAAAAAAAGGTGCCTTATGTGTTATTATGTCTTAAAGGGGTCATATGATGCTGCTAAAAAGAGCATTATTTTGTGTATTTGGTGTAATGAAATGTGTTTATTTTATACTATCCTACAGCATTATATTTCTGCCAGTTATGTCACTATTTTGGAAATGCCACACAAAACCAACAAAAATCCCACAGATTCTTGTAGTAAGTTCTTGGTAAACAGAAAGTTTTATGGTATTCTGTCATAATTAGCTCTGTTCAGATGTGTTGTTATTACAACACAAAATAACAGAAAAACCACATACAGCATCTAATGGTAAATTCTTGTGATACTGTACAACAGAAAGTTTTATGGTAATCCTATCATATTTAGCTCTGTTCAGATGTGTTGCTATTACCACACAAAAACAACAGAAAAACCACATACAGCATCTAATGGTAAATTCTTGTGATACTGTACAACAGAAAGTTTTATGGTAATCCTATCATATTTAGCTCTGTTCAGATGTGTTGCTATTACCACACAAAAACAACAGAAAAACCACATACAGCATCTAATGGTAAATTCTTGTGATACTGTACAACAGAAAGTGCTGTGGTAATCCTGTCATATTTAGCTCTGCTCATTTATTGTGTGGTAATTTTATGTTGTACTGCTGCAGTACCACAGGATTACCACAGGACATTTTTGTAAGGGGATAGATAGATAGATAGATAGATAGATAGATAGATAGATAGATAGATAGATAGATACCAAGTTAACAGAAACATTCTGGTTAGATTCTCTCAAAGTTATGAACAAACATTCTTCCAGTGACATTAATAGAATGTTTGTCAAAGTTATCTAGTCTCAAATGTTCTCAAAAATTTAGCACAAAAACAATATTTATACATCATTAATGGAATACTTTTTTTTTCCTTAAACGTTTTTTATTCGTTTTTTTTATGTTACTACTTGTTTCAGAATGTTCAGTGGACATTTAAAAGTAATGTTTACATAATGTTTGTAAGAAAATAAAACGGAATGCTCCCCCCTACTGTTCAAGAACATTCAGTTGTTATAACTTATTTGTTGGGTTGCTCTAAATCAGTATTCTTGTATGCTGGAGTAAAAGGCGGTGAGTAATCATAAAGACATAAGATTTTTATGTAACTTAGTAGCTAAGTTTGCTTAAGGTATATTACAGTGCGTTCTATATATTTTACTGTTGTTTAACAACACACCGATTCTTTCTGTGAAAAACTTTCAAAAACTCCATTAATAAGATAAATGGACCCTTTTTTTTCCACATTTCCGGGTTTCTCAGCAACGGATGTCGTCGAATGGGAGACTACCACAAATATATATATATATATATTTTTGTAATTTAATTCAAAGGTAATATAATACAAAGTGTAGTGTTATAAATGTACATAAATGTTTTTAATGAAAATATAAAAAACTTTGGAGGATTTACGATGCCGTTGAAACGCGTCATCACTGTCTTTTAAAAAGAGTGGTGTTCATTTGGTCATATGATCTCAATGTAGAATAAGCTTTTATTAGGTATGAGCCCTTGAACGAGTCATTACTTATTTGTGTTTGTACATATTTCTCAAAACTACTATTCATTTCTTCGAGGGTTGCTTTTAGTGAGGAAAAGAAAGAAGGATCCACTTATTTATACACGGACGCCATCTGGTGACAGACTGGATTACTGCCTGTCTGGAGTAGATTACGTGCGTTAAAGACGTTGGTTTTGATTGGTCATTTGTCACAAGGTGCGCGCAACAGCTAACGTACTCCCTCCCTTCTTGTATATCAAATGTAGCTTCGTGTTCCAGTCAGAATTGTAGTTAAAAATGACGCTGTTTATGAACGCTTGCGCTTTTTTAGTCAAAGTCCTCACTCTACCGCTGCACATTGCGGAGGTGATTGGACTTTTATCTTTCTACAAACACGTCTTCCCTCTAATCGTCTATAAAATCTCGATCTCCTACAATGACAAAATGAACGACAACAAAAGGGAACTATTTCGAAACCTGGACAAATTCTACCCCACGAAAGGCTCTCTGCGCATCTTGGAGGTGGGCTGCGGATCCGGGGCGAACTTCGAGCACTACCCGACGGGCTGCAGGATCACATGCACCGACCCCAACCCGCATTTCCAAAAGTACCTGAAGAAAAGTATGACCAAGAACGACCACCTCGTTTATGACAGCTTCATAGTGGCGTCAGGGGAGAATCTAAAGGCGGTGGAGGACAACTCCGTGGATGTTGTGGTGTGCACGCTGGTTCTGTGCTCAGTCCAGGATACGCAGAATGTTCTGCAAGAAGCAAAGAGAGTTCTGAGGCCTGTAAGTTTATGGCAGCCAGTGCTTATAGGGGGTTGAACTCCGATATGCTTTGATAGTTCATAAACTGTCTCTTATCTCTCCCAAGCCGTTTTCCATCAAAGAGTAATTATTGATTACATTAAGTTTATTTGAGATGAAAGGTAACAGCATTACTTAAAGGGATAGTTCACCCAAAAATTACACTTCTGTCATCATTTAAAAAAAATACTATGGAAGTCAATGGCAACCACCAACTGTTTGATTACCAGCAATCTTCAAAATATCTTCTTTTGTGTTGAACATAAGAAAGCAACTCATACAGGTTTGGAACGACATGAGGGTGAGTAAATGATGACAGAATTTTCATTTTTGGGTGAACTAACCCTTTAACTACATGTAGATCGCCGTTTGCTGCGATTAACCCATTAGCTGTTTGTTTTAGGGCTGATGTCACCATACAGTTTAGGCTGCTGTTTAGAAATGCTGGAATATTTTAAACTAAACAACGTTTATTATTATTACTATTATTTTTTTTTTTTTCTTTAGGGAGGAGCATTTTTCTTCCTCGAACATGTGGTGTCTGACCCCTCAAGCTGGATTTACTTTTTTCAACATGTTCTTCAACCATTCTGGTAATATAAAAACACAGTATTTATAACATCACCATTGTATTTTACTTATGATCTCCACTGAATTTGAATAACTTTTATTATTAGATTGGTTATTTATCTCAAGCTATAGTAAATAAAATTAGGGGATATTTCATATAGTGGCAAATGTAAAAGCTAAAAGAGTATGATGGAGCTTTGAAACAACATGGGTGTGTGAAATGTCTGCATAAATATATGCATTCAATCACCCATCCATAACTGGAGGTCATGGGTTCAATTCAGGCAGAGATGGAGGAAGGGTTTGATTAGAATTTTTGTTGTTGTTTTTGCTTTGAAACCATTGTCTAACAATTTTACATAATGATGGAATACTTGTAACAAAGCATATGACTACTATAGACGGTTTCATCGGGCGCACGCGCCTGGCCCGAAGTTAACTTCCAGTCTGTGTTTGTTTATCAGTCTGGCTATGGCGCCGGCTACAAACGCAGTTTAAGTTAAGTTGATGAGTAGACTGGAGTTGGGCTCAGGTGGTTGTGCTGTGGGATGTGTTTCCCATACATTTATTTATTTGTGGCGCTCGCCACAATATAAAAACTGACCGATTTTCCAAAAGGCTTCGTTGAATAAACATGAGCACGTACTGCACGTTTAAAAATCTAAACGAGGCGCGGGTGTTTATGTCACTGTATTTCTGAAGGAAGACTATCTTTAGAACATTTTCGATGTCATTTTCATTTCATCTTGCATGTTATATGCCTGATAAAGCAGCTTTTGTGAGCTCAGCGCTGCTTTGTATACAGCCGTTACTGGGGAAACCTCTGTTTCTCCCGCTTTAAAGCACCTCCTGCTGGCAGAGAATGAATTTGCATTTTCAGCAAGTCCGTCTGATTTACGCAGCAAACATATTTTGCTTATCAAAAATAATCTACTCTAGAGGGACTACTTAGCTGCTGCTATTGATTCTATTTGGAGGTCTACTGGAAGTTAAGTTAGGGCCACAAAAGCGCGCATGCGCAGTAACGTTTGTTTATGTTATTGCCGTTGAAACCGTCTATAGAGTAAGAAAGTCTATACTTCTATGTTTGTCAGGTACTATTTCGGTGATGGCTGTGATACAACCCGTGCTACTTGGAAGCACCTCGAGGCAGCTGGCTTCTCTGACCTGCAGCTACGTCACATCCAAGCCCCACTGTTTTTTATGATCAAGCCACACATTGTTGGTTATGCAGTCAAATAATGAAAATTAATTTTGCCAAAAAAAAAAACAACAACCTTCATTCAAAATTAATTCATTTCACCACCATGTGTTTGTATTAAATAGTAATTTGTATTAAACCATAAAATAGAAAGTTTTTGTTTAATGTGCAAACACTAAATCTCAAGACTGCATTGTATATTTTATTGAGTACAAAAATACCAGCAGGTAAAACAACAAAATACTTTTATCTATATAAAACAGGCTTTTGGAGATGAATGCAGGCCAGCTTTTGTGAGGTTGTTGTTAATGCATAAATGAGCCATACTGCCATCTAGTGTTTAGGAGGAATGTGTCATCCTTAATACTTTTGAATTCAAACTTCTATACTTTGTAATATAGTTAAATACTCTGAAAGACCACTTTGCATTCTCTAACTTTAAATTTTGACAGACACTTGTTTTTTTCCCCCAACACTTCTGACCATTAAAGTTCCTGTTATAAAACATTGTACTCACAAAAAGTAATTTCTTGCTGATAAATTAGAAAATAGAACAATGTATTTTTTACAACATAAATGTATTTGACTTAAGATTTTTTTTTTTTTTTTTAATGACCTGATATTTTCATGTTGTCATTGACTGTTGGAACACTATTCTTTAAATATGGTATGAATAAAACAAAATAAAAATTAAAGCTATAATTTTGAAGTAAATATTAAATAGTTCTCTGGCTGTCTTTTTAATGCAACAACCAAGACATTGTTTTCCCAAATATTGACCAACACCATTTCATAAGATAACCTTGCGTCTCCTGTCTGACCATCTGAGTGGAGTTTTTCCAAGAGCCTCCTTGAGGCTGAGAAAAAACTCATAAGTTAAAGTAGTAAAGCTACAGTCAAGCTACCCTTTTGAAAAAATAGCTAGCTACACTACAAGTTACTACCAAAAAGTAGCTAGCTACATTGAAACTACTTTTTTTTCACAGTGACGTATACTACACATAACTGAACAAGTGTTAATGAGGAATGTTTTACGTAAAATATTTGCTATTTAAAACAACAATGCAATACAGTTATGATGTCAGAGACTATTGTTTGTTACAATATTCAAATACCTCAGACTGTCAAAAGTCAAAAGTGCAAAATTGCAACAAATTTAGCATTGCGGTAAAATGTTATTTTTAAGTAACTTAAATTTAGCACACTGAAGCATTTTCTCAAACATAGTGTAACAGATTCTTCTGGATAAAATTATGATTTGTGATTTAAAATGTGATTTTTAAAACAAATTAACAAAAAATTATTAGAAAAAAATTCTTGATAAGATAACATTAATTTTATTTTACACAAAACTACTGTTTTACAAAAACTGCAGGGTTACTAGTTAACATACAGGCAGCCTATACCTGTACATCATAAGATGCTGTTATGATAAAAATCTTTGACAGTAATTCTTAACTTTTATCAGGAAGTCCATGTCTTTAATTTGAAATAGGCTTTGAGCCTTTTATGCATCCACTTTGGGGGGAAAAACAACTCATGTACCCTTCTTTACACGGGAGAAATTGATTATCATATGTTTACTTCGAGTTTATTTAACAAGCAGTATTATTTTTTCTATTTATGCCCAATATAGGACTGAGTGTGCATTACAGTTTTTCTGAATTGTTAAAACATTTCTTGAAACCATCACTTATTTTCTCAAAACCTTAAACACAAATCCAAACCTTCAAACTAAATTCACAGAATCCCTGAATCTTCTGGCAACATCAAACAATCGCTTCCAAACCATTTTAGCTGTACTCAAAATCAAGCAAAGCTTAAGTCTTAAGCTCAAATCTTAGAGAATATACCAAAAAAAAAAGTTACTCTCAAAAAGGAATATATTTCTGTCATGACTCTCTGAGGGATTGGCATGGTAATGTACATGACAATGTTAATGTATTTGGTCTTGGCGGAATAGATTTGCTACGCTGCTGCTGCGGCAGAGCAAGTACCGAGATTTGCTACTGCCAATACATCCACAACATGCTGCTGTGAGCATGTAAGAAATATTGCTGCTGCAAATATAACATGCACGAAATAACCCCCATATAGCATACACGAATCACCTCGTAGCAGATCTATACAGGTGGAGCTGGGGAAGGTGGAGGGTTTCTGAAGCAAGCTGCAAAGGCTAGGGCAAGCACTAGTCATATATTTGAATGTTGAGCAGCGAGCTCATTGGCTACCGATACAGGAGAGAACCAATCAGCTGTGCCATATGATAATGATGTCATTAGGTCAGATTGAGTTAGACCTATCGGACTGCTCCATCTAGAGTTTCATGCCAGAACTCTATATATACAGTATATATACTGTATATACACACACACACTCACACATGCATACATACATGCATATATATATACAGTATATATATATACACTCACCGGCCACTTTATTAGGTACACCTGTTCAATTGCTTGGTAACACAAATTGCTAATCAGCCAATCACATGGCAGCAACTCAATGCATTTAGGCATCTAGATGTGGTGAAGACGACTTGCTGAAGTTCAAACCGAGCATCAGAATGGGGAAGAAAGGGGATTTAAGTGACTTTAAACGTGGAATGGTTGTTGGTGCCAGACGGGCTGGTCGGAGTATTTCAAAAACTGCTGATCTGCTGGGATTTTCACGCACAACCATCTCTAGGGTTTACAGAGAATGGTCCGATAACCATAACCAGTTTGATATGGCATAGAATTTGGAAATTACAAAAAAATTACATAAATATTTAATTACAAATAAAGTAAAATAAATTTTTCAAACTCATTTATAAATATTACTCCAGTAACTATTTCCTTGTAAACCGATTTAACTGTGATATTGACATGCTTTGTACATTTTGTGGTCTACATATATACAGAAAGTTTTTTCATTTGTTTTGGAGTTGTCCTCATTCAACCAGTTTTTGGTTAGATTTCTGCTCGTTTGTTAGAGATCATATCATGCCCAGCTTTTTTCAATTTTTTTATTTGGGTTTGTCACTTACGACATGTCATTCCATAAGGAATATTATTTGATTAATTTGTTACTTTTGTTGGCAAAGTTTAGTATACATAAATGCAAGTATGGTGATTATAAACCATTATTTAATTTTGAAATCAGAAGTTAAACAATACCTACAATCTATTTACAATCTGATAAACAAGAAAGCTGTTACGTGTATTAATGTAAGCATTTTTGTTTCTTCTTTTTTTTTTTTTTTTTACATTTCAGTGTAATTTTATATCCTTCTTTCCTTGTCTTCATCCCCTGGCTAATGTGAAATTTTGAATGTGAATATTTCAATTAAAAAAAATGCTGTAGCTGAATAAAACGATAGAAACACTTGAACCTATTAAACATAAAGACAATAAACCCACGACTGCGACAATATATGGTTTATCTGTGTTCTCCAAGCCATCTCGGATATTTTTAATAATAATAAAGTAAATGTATAATCCATTGCTAATCGACATAGCCTTTATTACAGTATGAAATATATTTTCTGCCTCATTCTGTGATAAGAATTATTTCAGGTGCAATATTCTTTGTAGCAATTTCCTTGCATGTGAGGCCATTTTGATTAATGATGGGACGTCATTAATCATGTGTCACACATGTGACACACAGCAGCCACAACAGCACTTATGTTTTATTTGTTTTTTTCTTTTTATTCCAAACATCCCCACACGCATTAACTACATCATGAAATATCTTGATTCTCACATTATAGATTATGTTGATCTATAGTGGGCGATGGGTCAAAGTAACCTAATAATGTAATCTATGCATACAAACCTGTCTGTTTACTTAACAGATATGGATGTCATGCCATAACATGTTTTTAATACGACTGAGTTTATGTTTAATGTGAAATTAACATTGAAAGTTAATGTGGATAAAAACATTGCAAGTTAGGCTACTACACTTTCATTGTACAGAAAGAGAGCAAATAACATGTACATTATCAAAGAACATTTTCACTGACAGTCTAGTTCACTCACTTTTAAAAACTCCCATTAAAATCACTGAAGCTGTTTACACTATGAAAATAATATCTTACATTTTCGAACACATATTTGCACTTTGTTGTTTCTGACGAGAGAATAGAATTCGCCAGAAAGAGGTATTCAGTCAGCGAGCTAGTGAAGAAAACACCGGCATTTTAGCGATGACTCACCTGAACATCTCTGATTGGTCAGTGCAAACATAAACTCAACAGCATCGTGTGTGATTGGTTAATGCGCAGTGCTGTAAAAACGCGTCTATCTCTGGCTCGGCGCCAGCCAGCGAACGCAGATATGAATTTAGCAGCTGCTGATATGATACACTGAACGTTAACACGCCGGTGTAATTGTATTAAATATAAAAAAATATTAATCGGCAATTCTTTGTATTTTGGAAGCTGCATTCAAAATCCACTTGGCTCAAAAATCTGTCCAATCACTTTGAATGGGCATGACGCCTCTGCCGAACACACAGCTCACCCAAAATATTTTTGCTACTATTTACGTCAATTATTAATTATAAAAATCACACACTTGTATATTTTATATTATTGATCAATATGTGAATCCGTTGACCGGACTACGCATGACACGCGTTGGTACGGTTTAAAAACTTTTTCTAACCATCCTCTGCTAAACGATGTTTTGTTAGATTTGGTGGAGAAACCAAGTCTGACCACCAGATGTCGCTAATGCGCACTGTGTTAAATTTCGTGAAAGCTCAAACGGTTCAGAAAGCCTCGATTTCCCATCACAAATTTTGATGCAACGCGAAGATGGCTGCACGTGTTTCTTTGGAGATAACCATTGCTAACAAGAACACAACGATTGGAAGCGCTTCTTCCCTCCTTTTATAGCAATCAGTCTGCTCTTACAATCTAATTAGTATGATAGTGATTTCACCTGACTAGTACTCATTCACACTTTCACATGTGCTGCCGATATGATTAATCAATTCATGTTAGCTGGTCATTTTGTCAGGATAAAAAAAAAAGTGAAATTTTTTTTTTGTGAAAAGTTCAATTTTTTTGGCCAATAAAGCTTAAAATGCATCTGATCACTCTACACAATAATCTAGAACCAATGTGAATGAACACCACAACAGCAAACTTTGCAAAACACAAAATGTATGTCTCTTCCAAAACTTTTGGCCATGACTGTAGTGAGTCTGAAGACCTTGATTACATTGGTTCAGGTGTGTTTAATTAGGGTTGAAGCTAAACTCAGCAGGACAGTGGCCCTCCAGGAACAGGTTTGGACACCCCTCCCTGTCCTACATCAGCCTGTGATACAACCTGTGCTACTTGGAAGCACCTCGAGGCAGCTGGCTTCTCTGACCTTCAGCTACACCACATCCAGGCTAATTTACTCTTTATGCTCAAACCACACATGGTTGGTTATTCAGTAAAATAATGAATATGAATTTTGCACACAAAAAAAAAACCCTTCTAAAGGTTTTCTCAAGCATGTTTTCTTTCAGTAAGCCTAAAACATTGATTTCACTATGGACTTTTAAATGTTTGTATGAAGGGACCATTTGTATTACACCATAAAATACAAGTTTT